ATGTGTGTGTGTGTGTGTGTATATATATATATATATACACACACACACACACACATACATACACACACACACACTGTACATATACTTACATACACAGACACACAGACACACTTATTAGGAAAAGAAGGAAATGTCCAGGACTGATTTTAGCTGCAGTTGGCAAACCTAAATGGAGAAGTTGGGAAACTAAGCATTACCCACATTTTTGTATGATTTATACTTATTTTCTTTCTACTTCTTTTGGGGTAGGAGAACTATCTTTTTGGTAAATGGGATAACTGCGCCAAACACAGAACTGATGCATTCCATATAGTTGATCTTGATATAGGGTACTTCTTCAAGACTCACTCCATATGTGTTCTATCTGGTGTTTTTTAGATTCATAGCTAAGCTTATTAGGAATTTCCACCCAGTGAAAAAGCAGAGCAGGGGGTATTTTGGGATCCAGCAAAAGACAAATGTCTAGGATTAAAATCTCCAAGCTTAATGTGATCCCAATACTGAATCATCTAACTAGATATTTGCAGCACGCAATGATGTGTCTAATTTGCCTTTGAGTTCAGCTGGATTTATTCTTTGGTGAAGATAAAAAGGATTATAGTCCTAAAGAAGTAACAAGAATTCAGAAAATACTTGTCATATTTTAGAATAGCAAAATGCTAGCAAAGCTACAAGTACAGCTCAAATCAGAAACGTATCTTTAATTGTCTTTACTCCAGTTAACCCACCTCTTTAAAAAATGTTGATAACTATAAGCAGAGCAATAAACCTTGACTAAATATTTGTTAAATGCAAGTGTTAATAGGTCCATATTTGGTCTAACGACGGTCAACTTTAACAAATTTCGGAGTTCAGGTTTGACCTCTGTGAATATGCTCTCTCCTGGCCCTTTGTCCTTTCCTCCTTCTGCATTTTTATTTCCTTCTCTTTACACACAGTAGTCTTCACCTTCTAGCAATTTAGAGATATGGCGATGAGATTAAAAGAAAATTTGAATTTGAATAAAATCATCACTGCTGGCTTGCAGCAAGAGATATGGTTGCTGATACCTATTATTATAAACTCATTTCATGGAATGGAGAATAAATGCTTGATATTAGTGAAGTCTACAAAGTTCCCAACAAAAAATATCTTGGACTAGCACAAAATGGTTTCATGACTAACATGAAAGGGAGAATATCTGACAGTTCTCCACACTGTCAAAAGGCAAGAACTGGAAGAACTCCAGTTCTCTGTGAAACAGGATAGTGGCTGTTTCACTGCCTCATTTTAGTCTTCCATCTATTGAAAATGAAATTTTTTGGGTGCACACAAGAATATTATTTCTGACTGGGCCTAGAAATTCATAGTTTTCTTTAACTCCTGGTTTGTATCAGAATATAAAAGAAATCATAAATATCACATTCCTCAACAAGAAATGACACACCTGAGTTTTAGCTGCCTTCCCAATCTTATGCACGCCCCCTCCCCAGATGTCTGGAGGTTGAGTCATGTCAACTGGACTTTCCTTTTGGTTTGATACGTTTCACTACTTGTCCAAGCAGCTTCTTCAGTCTGGACAAGCAGCGAAACATATCAAACGAAATGAAAAGTCCAGTTGCCATGACTCAACCTCCAGCAATTCCACCTGGATGACTGAGAATCCTTATCAACATACTCCCCCCCCCCCCCCCCCCCCC